AATTGAATACTAGCCTATAAAAATGTATATTTCTAATAAACACAGTTGGTACAATCTCAACCAATGAAGTAGGCAGCAGGCACACAAGTACACAAAGTTAAAGACCTTATGACGGGTTTAAAAAAAAAAAAATAGTGGATATCAAAATTGCATGACAATGTCAATTTGAAAGAGATTCCGGCAAAAAAAATCCTATATTTTATAAAAAGAACGTGTTTTTCATGAATTTAAGTTGTCTATGCTCTAACCTGTGTGTGACGTCATAGCGGGTTACGCCCATGCATTGAAAACCATGGATCTATGCCACAGGACTGCCTTTTCTCTCTTCTCTCCACTGATGCCCAACACAATACTGCACTCTACAGGTGACAATTGCTCACTACACATACATTGCCGTTTTGAGTGTGAAAAAGTGTCCGAGGTGGGAATTGAACCCAAATTTCTGGATTGGCAGTCCATCGACACAACCACTGGACTATCTCAGTGACAACAAAATGTTACATTCTAGTACTTATGTTAGACTCGCTGTACACGGTCTTGTCATCTTGAATATCCGCGAAAAAAGAACGAATACCAAATTTTAAACAACTTACAGCGTTGAAACGTACCCGTTCTGACGTCACCAAGGGCTGTGAAGTTTTTTTGTTTCTAAGGGCGTTGCTATGGGGTTATTTCGATTTGGGGGGATCAGACAAAAAAAACAACAACTGATTTTGAAACCTTTAGTAGTTCTCTTCTAATATAAAATGGTATTAAAACTGTATTTCTAAATAAATCAAACCCGTCATAAGGTCTTTAAGGTCTTGGGAAAACAAAAATAAGTTTTAAAAAAGTATTTTGGAATAAAAACAAGCACCCTGATTACAGACCAGTATGAATGAGGAGCACACAACAATTATATGAGTAATAACTACAATGAAATACTACCTAAGTATTGTTCATCTCTAAGTACATCTTGGCTGATTTGCATCCGTGTTCCCACATTCACACTCACAAACAAGCACTCATTCACCCTGAACTATTGTACATACTGTAGTATTTGGTGGTAGGGGAAACCGGAGCACCTGGAGGAAACCTACACAGACTCAGAAAGGCCAAGTTCTAACTTTAGCATAAAACAGAAATGTAAAATGCTGTTTAATCTAGTGTAATAAATATTTAGCTGTATATTTACATCTGTACATGTTAGCAGCGTGAGAGTATGGGACAAAGTGACTCAGTAAAGTGGCAAAGGAGATGGCTAAAGCTAGGCTAAATGCTAAAGTCTGGCTAAATGCTAACACTAGGCTAAATGCCTTACTCACTTCGGCGCATTATATACGTCACGGTAAACTCAGATCCAATCGTTTCAATCTGCAAAAGCAGTTAACCCCTCCTGACCTGTTAACGGAGTCAATGGAAAAGCCCGACACATTTCTCCTAATCTTCATCTGAACATAAAGTCTTCAGTGTTTGGTTTCTCAACAGAATCACAAAACTAAGTCTTGACACAGTTTTTGAGAATGCATTTGTTTATTTTTGAGTGAAGGGAAAAGCTTTACCTCATCAAGCGACTCATCGCTCGACAAGATAAAGGAAAGAAGAACGTTCACTTTGGTTTCTGCGCTGAAACACTGAATATCTGAAGTTTAACCTGTTAGATATTCCTGACTAGTTACACACAACTTTAAATGTAAACAATTACTTTGCCAATTAAACAAGAACTTATTTCTTATCCTATTGGCCAAAAGTTCTTGTGTAAATTAAAATGTGTGAAAACTTTCCAGAAACATCTTAAAGCAGGTGGAACCTCTAAAGTCATGTTAGATCCTCTAGATACTAACTATGTTCACACTGAGATCATACCTCCTCAAGTCACGTATGACTCGACAAGATAAAGATCTAGTTTAGTGTTGTGTTAGCGTGATGCTAGCTTTGTCCTGAGCACCACGTCTAACACTAATGTCGGTGTTTGTTTTAGAAACACCACCAACTCCTACTCCTCCTCTTCTTCTTCTTGTGCAGCCCGTTGACCTGGTCCTGGAGCTCATGAATCTGGAGCTCCAGAGCAGTGTTGTAGTCCTGAGAGGAGGTCAGGTCCTCAGACAGCTTCTGGACCTGCTGCTCCAGGATCAGCCGGCTCTGTTTCTCTGAACACAGCTGTTCTCGGTGGAGCTGCTGAAGCTTCTCTTTGAGGACTTCCCAGACGTCTCTGTTGCAGGCAGGACTTTCTGTAGTATTTTTCATCTGGTTGTTCTTTAGTTCCTCCACCTCGAGCCACAAAGCCTCAGTCTCTTGTTTCTCCTGTTGCAGGGCCTGTCTGAGCTCGGTCACCTGATATTTCAGACTTTTCTCCTCTTTGGACCTCTGGGTGATTGTGTCCTGGAGGGCCTGGGTTTGCTCGTCTCTTTTCATCACCTCTTCCTCGAGGTCAAAGTTGGCGACTTTAAGGTCTGCGATCTCCGCCCACACAGCTTCTCTGGCTTCCTCCACTTGTGCACGAAAAGCAGAAGCCTTCTGCTGTTTCAGATGAGTGATCTCACACTCTTTGGCCTCCAGCTCTTTGAGGTGCTCATTCTGAACATTCTCACACTGCGCTTTGAAGGCCCTTATTTGCTCCTGTTCAGTCCGAAGCTTCTCTTTGAGCTCCTCTACCAGCTGCTGCAGAGCACTCTGGGAGGTCTGGGCCTCTCTGGTGGCCTGCTGTTCCTGGTCCAGGGCAGATCTTAGGGCGGACACTTGTGTCTTCAGCTTCTGTGTCTCTCTCTCCTTCTCCTGCAGTTTGCGCTCAGCTTCACTGGTGAGACTCTTCTCCTGGTTCAGGGCAGATGTGAGAGAGTCCAGTGTTGTTGACAGCTTCTGCGTCTCTGTTTGTAACTGCTCCACATGTCTCTGGGCTGTGACTGTGGCCTGGTCTCTCTCACTCAGATCTGACTGAAGTTGGGTCACCTGACTCCTCAGTGACTCCTTCTCCTGCTGCTCCTGCTGCAGTTCCTGTTGGAGAGCTCTGATCTGGTCCCTCAGAGCGGCCTTCTGTCGGGACGTCTCAGAGATTACATCCAGGAGTCTCTGTGCTCTCTTTTCCCTACGGTCCAGCATGATTTCGAGTTTAACGTTTCTTTCAGACAGATTGCGTATCTCGTCCTCCACAGCTTCCTTGGCCTCCTGCACCTGGTCACGAAAAGCGTCGTCAGCCTTTTCCTCTAAACTGCTGATGACTTTGTCTTTTTCTTCCAGCTCTTTCTTGTGCTGATTCTCCGTGTACTCCATCCAGTGCTCGCACTGAGCCTGGTGGCGAGATTTGAAGGCCCAAATCTCGCCTGGATCCCGCTCTACATCCAGTTTGAGGTTCTCTATCTGTGTGAGAAGCTCTTCCTGGGAGGCCTGGTTCCTCTCCTGTTCCCTTTCCAACTGTAGCTTCAGCTCTTGGTTCTGTCTGAGCAGATGTTGAGAGAGGGCCTGGTCCTGCGGAGCGTCCACAGACACAGTGCTATTTATGAGCTGTGTGGGACGCTGCGGCTGGTTCGGGCGTTGCGCCCTGCGCTGCCAGCGACGCGGACCGTGGCTCATGTTAATGTTTTCGTTGTGTTTATCCATATTTCGTTGTTTTCGTCTCTGACTTCTGAAGGTGAAAATCTATGCTATTGTCTGAACAGATTTCACTCCCATCAACTGAAACTCCAGGTGGAATCTTAATTATGTCATAATGCTGATGTCATAGTTACCATAGCAACAGCTATACTGTGAAAACAGCTGGTGTCCATAGTTACCAATATTGCATTGACAATACTTTGTAGTTAATATATATAGATATTATCTCTAGTTAAGTGAACCCTAAGTATATTCTGAATGCCAATTAGAGAAAGTAAAAACCAGGCCTTCTGGAAGTTGTGTTTTGAACATCAGAAAATATAATGCAGTAAAAAGACTATATCTTTTGAATACGCTGGAAAATAGCTGCAAGTCCTAAGTAGCTCTGAAACAATTGTTGTTTTGTGCTTTAACATTTTTATTCTTATTGCTTTTTTCTACCTGAGATTTTGCTGCAGTACAGTGTTCATGGTTTTACACTGGTCCAGACCGGAGCAGAGAGGATTCATGGTCCGAACCAAGATCAGGTGAAAATCCACTGGAGGAATGCTAAAAAACTATTTAGAATTTTACTTTGGACTAGAGCAGTAAATGGTCAAAACAAAGCAGCTACTCCACCTTTTGACCCATCCTGCTCCACCCAGGGGCTACTCCACCTCTGCTGGTGTGACCTGAAGGGCTGTTGCTGATTAACACTATTGTTAGATTTTTAGAATGATACATTTTATTTTTTATTTTTGCTGCTACTGGACAGCTGAATTTCTCCAATGGGGCTCAATAAAGTATCCATCTCTGAAAATGGCTTCATAAAGACCTCTGGAGTTTTTCTGTCGCCTCGGTCTTAAAATAAAGATGTTTTACAAAAAAGAGTTTTGTAAAACATTAAGTCTGTTCTTCCAGCATCACTTCACCAAAAAACATCTTTAAAATAATCTGAGTTTCTGAAGTAACAAGAACAGAAGAAAAGCTAACGCTCCGTTTAACATTTCACGAGTGACACAATTCACAGGAAATAATGACTTATATATATATGAAATACAGTCCACCTGAGTTGACTCTGTGTGGGACACCCTTCTGCTGCAATAACAGCAGGAAGTCTTTGGAGTCTGACTCTACAAGATTTGCCTCTAGAGACAGAAATTTTATTTGCTGCTTTTTTTGGAAAATCGAAGCAGCGTGAGCGGGAGAGACGTCTATGGGAGTGCGCGGACGTAGTGCTCCTCGTGTTATTACGCCTCACAATATAGTTCCCCTTTTTATCCGCTGAGAAAATCGACATGTTACATTTCTTTGTTACTATACTTTGTAGAGTAACACGTCACGTAGCTGTGTTTAAATAGGGAACACGTGGAAGAGTTTGGTAGCTTCTAATGGGAGCTGATTTGGTACTATACAGAATGTGGAAGAGGCTGCGTTTGTGCTCCGTTTGCATGACAGAGCACACGGACAAAGACCAGACAGGTACATATCAACTAGTCTAAGGTAAGAACATATGTCAGTATGTAAAAACGGTGGTCTATTCCTTTAACATTCATCTTATTTATTTATTGATTTGAATGGGACAGTACATGTCAGTCGACAAACACATTAGAAAACATGAATGTAAACATGCTAAATTATAGACAAAAGCTCATTTCCATCTGTGTCCCATTGGGTTTGGGTCACAAGGGTAAAATACTGAAAAAAAACCCCCAGCTTGCATTCCCGCACAGGCCGCACATTAATACCCTGCCAAAATCAACAAGGTCAGAGTCCACATAATTGCACATATCAAATTATTGCACACACCCCGTTATTGCACACATCCAATAATTGCACACATTCAGGTATTGCACACATTCTTGCATTACCGTCAATCAAGTATTACACATGACCTATTTACACACAACACCATATTGTACACATGTTCCCCTGACATTAAACATTTGACCTTTAATTTAAATTTTAAGGTAAAAATTAGTATTACAACATGTATTGTAAAAAAATCCCTCGTTGTGTAATGTCAGGGATTACTCTTACATGATCATCATTTCATACATAATGTTTTCCAAGAACTAATTAATTCCTCTTCCCCTGAGGGTGTATTAAAGATACACATGGTATGTACATGTCCTGGATGTAAAACTGCCGACACACGCCAAACAGCTCTGAGGATAAAAGCCAGTCCCGGAGCACCGCCTTGTTCTGTGCCCCGGCTACAAGTTAAATACAAATTTCACTTTTATGTTGATCCTGTAATTAGTCAATGTTCTGTTTTGAATGTCATACTAAGCATTTAATCTGCATGCCTCTTCTCTTCTTGTACGCTGCCTTTACTTTTGTGATTCTAAAAACTAGAATTTTTCTGAGAGCCTCTTCAGTCCTGGATCTACAACCTCAGTCCTGGATCTACAGCCTCGGTCCTGGATCTACAGCCTCAGTCCTGGGTCTACAGCCTTGGTCCTGTATCTGCAGCCTCAGTCCTGGGTCTACAGCCTCAGTCCTGGATCTACAGCCTCGGTCCTGGATCTACAACCTCAGTCCTGGGTTTACAGCATCAGTCCTGGGTCTAAAGCCTCAGTCCTGGATCTACAGCCTCGGTCCTGTATCTGCAGCCTCAGTCCTGGATCTACAGCCTCAGTCCTGGATTCGGGGAGCAGATCTTTTTTTTTGTTCCTTGCCAATGTAGGAAGGTCGAAGTACATTGATGATCCGAGACATTTATTAACATTTTAGGACATTTATGGACATTTATCAACCGTTATGTACATTGGTCATCCCACTCCCACTCCCTCCAGCTCATTCAGCTCTGGAACACCCGTGCCCCTGACCTCCGCAGCTTCCAAACCGCACTTAAAACACCTTTCTTCAGACTGGCCTTTTCTCTGTGACCTCACAATTCACTGTCCTATTTTAACCAGCTGGGACCATTATAGCTGAGTAGACAAGAAATTAGTCAACAACAAATCTATAACAAACACCTTTTTCACAAAGGCCCCCTAAAGTGAGATTAGCTCGACGAGGTGAGTTCTGTCAACCACGACCGGACTTTCTGATTGGTAAAATAGTAGGGGATTCGAAAAGAGCATGGTTTATTAATGCCTTTAAACATAGTGCTAATTCATAATGACTTGACATGAAAATCTTACATACTACTAGAACGTATTGTTATAAATACATCTGAAAACAATTTATAGTGTGAGGAGGAAAACAAATATTGCGTATGAAGTCCCATTTAAAGGGTTAATTTGTTGTTGTTGCTATTTTTCATAGAGTTAGTTAAATCAGCCTTGGTCCTTCTGTCAAATCCTTTCCTTGCCTGTGATTGGAGCTCGTCTGGGCTGTCCACGTGGCTCAGACATGACTCAGGATGGCTATTTTCTGCTCGGCTTCATCAGAGGGTCTTGCTTAGTCCTCTCAGCTCTGACTACAGTAGGATAATGGTGGGCCTGTGTCATTAGGCGAGGTGGACCGATGTGTGGACGTTATTATTGTTCTTCTGCCATGGGAGGGAAAGGTTAGTGGCCAAAGCTCACGATGAAGGACAAAGAGGCGAGACGTGAGACGCACATGATGCTTACAAATCTGTCTGTTCTACAAATGCTCAGAGGAAAATATGTTTAACTGTTATAACGGCTAAAGACATGTGTGCAGCCCTGCTAAGATTTCAAGATTTTTATTTGTCAAACCAAGTGAATGGTTTGAAATTATATTTCTCTCATCCTTGATTGTGGAGCGTGGGGTGGGGGAAGAGGGGTGGGAGGGAGGGCAGGGAGTTCAGCTTCCTGATGGCCTTGTGAATGAAACTGTTTTTAAGTCGACTGGAACTGTTCCGTAAATTCTGCAGTCTCCTCCCTGAAGACATTACCCTGAAGAGCCTGTGTGATGGGTGCGTAGGGTCCCTGGTGATTCTGACGGCTTTGCGGGTGAGACGGGTGGAGTACATGTCCTTAATGGTGGGGAGAGGGGCTCCACAGATCTTCTCTGCTGCTCTCACGATGCGCTGGAGGCTCCTTCGGCAGGAGGCAGTGCTGGTGCCGTGCCACCCAGTGATGGAGCTGGTCAGGATGCTCTCTACAGTTCCTCTGTAGAAGTTGCACACAACGGAGGCCGGGACTCCTGTAGCGCCTCTTGTGATGCCTCCACTGTGCTGCAGATGCGTGAGGCCCTCGGTGACCTGTCAGCGCTTCAGAAGATGATATCTCTGGATTTGTAGGTCTTAAATACTGCTCAAAAAGCCTTTAGCTCAGATGCTAACTGTGTGTTTACTTTTAAAAACACATCCTCTGTTCATTGCTAGCAAAGAGCTTTGGCAGTAAAAAATCCATTTCCATCCAATTTCAACATTTTGCCACATTTCAGGCTTCAAACATAAAGATATAAAAATTTAATTTTTTGTCATGAATCAACAAGTGGGACACAATCGTGAAGTGGAAATTTATTGGATAATTTAAACTTTTTTAACAAATAAAAAACTGAAAAGTGGGGTGTGCAATATTATTCGGCCCCTTTACTTTCAGTGCAGCAAACTCAGTCCAGAAGTTCAGTGAGGATCTTTGAATGATCCAATGTTGTCCTAAATGACTGATGATGATAAATAGAATGCACCTGTGTGTAATCAAGTCTCCGTATAAATGCACCTGCTCTTTGATAGTCTCAGGGTTCTGTTTACAGCGCAGAGAGAACCATGAAGACAAAGGAACACACCAGGCAGGTCCAAGATACTGTTGTGGAGAAGTTTAAAGCCGGATTTGGATACAAAAAGATTGCCCAAGCTTTAAACATCTCAAGGAGCACTGTGCAAGCAATTATATTGAAATGGAAGGAGTATCAGACCACTGCAAATCTACCAAGACCCGGCCGTCCCTCCAAACTTTCATCTCAAACAAGGAGAAGACTGATCAGAGATGCAGCCAAGAGGCCCATGATTACTCTGGATGAACTGCAGATAACTACAGCTGAGGTGGGAGAGTCTGTCCATAGGACAACAATCAGTCGTGCACTGCACAAATCTGGCCTTTATGGAAGAGTGGCAAGAAGAAAGCCATTTCTCAAAGATATCCATAAAAAGTCTCGTTTAAAGTTTGCCACAAGCCACCTGGGAGACACACCAAACATGTGGAAGAAGGTGCTCTGGTCAGATGAAACCAAAATCGAACTTTTTGGCCACAATGCAAAACGATATGTTTGGCGTAAAAGCAACACAGCTCATCACCCTGAACACACCATCCCCACTGTCAAACATGGTGGTGGCAGCATCATGCTTTGGGCCTGCTTTTCTTCAGCAGGGACAGGGAAGATGGCTAAAATTGATGGGGAGATGGATGGAGCCAAATACAGGACCATTCTGGAAGAAAACCTGTTGGAGTCTGCAAAAGACCTGAGACTGGGACGGAGATTTATCTTCCAAACAGGACAATGATCCAAAACATAAAGCCAAATCTACAATGGAATGGTTCACAAATAGACGTATCCAGGTGTTAGAATGGCCAAGTCAGTGAGCTCGAGCTGTTTTGCAAGGAAGAATGGGCAAGAATTCCAGTCTCTCGATGTGCAAAACTGATAGAGACATACCCCAAGCGACTTGCAGCTGTAATTGCAGCAAAAGGTGGCGCTACAAAGTTTTAGCGCAAGGGGGCCGAATAATATTGCACGTCCCACTTTTCAGTTTATTGGTTAAAAAAGTTTAAATTATCCAATAAATTTCGTTCCACTTCACGACTGTGTCCTACTTGTTGTTGATTCTTGACAAAAAATTAAATTTTTATATCTTTATGTTTGAAGCCTGAAATGTGGCGAAATGTTGAAAGGTTAAATACTATATACTATACTATATAGTTAAATACTATAATACTGAAAATACTTTCGCAAGCCACTGTATGTACTTTATCTCTTCCTCTTGTTCTATATCTGTCTATCTATCCCTCTATCTTTCTGCCTTTCTCTCTTTATCTATATCTGGCTGATACATATATTTAGTGAGTCTTTTTCAGCCTGACCAGCCAACTCCTCTATTTTCTGACAAATATGAAAGGGTTTGAGCCAGAAAATCTGCTGACCAATCAGATTGCAGAATGGGGAGTATGGAATTTGCTCTGCATCAGATTTGTTTCTTGTTCATCAATCATGTATTTCGTCTCTTCTTATCTGATATTTTATCAAGAAAAATGTATTTTTTTTCCAATGAATTCCCGCAAACCACAATCTTTTTATTTGCACACATCTTGATATGTCTTGCAGTAAAATGTTCCAACATAAATGTATACATCATGACTGTAACTGATTACGTCTTATACATCTATAAATAAATATTACGTATAGCTCAGCTCCCACACATGAGACCAGATGTTTGAAAACATTGTGTCGTTTGTGTCGTTGCAGGACGCTAAGTTTGTGGAGGAGCGGAGGAAGCAGCTGCAGTGTTACCTGAGGATCGTCATGAACAAACTGGTCCAGACACTCCCAGAGTTCAGCGCCCGGCCCACCAAGGAGACCCTGCTGTGCCTGCTGCCCTTCTGCCAGTGAGTCCCAGCCTCAACACACACAACTGCTACACAACTGCTACACTACGGGACGCACAACAAGACGCACAAAGAGACATACGACATGACATACAACAAGACACACAACAAGACGCACAACAAGATGCACAAGAATACACTCAACAAGACAAACAACAAGACACACAAAGAGACATACAACAAGACACACAACTAGACAAGATGCACAAGAATAAACTCAACAAGACACACAATGAGACACACAACTAGAAAATTAACAAGACTCTCAAGACGAACAACAAGACACACAAAGAGTCATACCAGACATACAACAAGACACACAACTAGACAACCAACAAGACAATCAACAAGACACACAACAAGACATACAACAAGATGCACAATGAGACACACAACTAGACAATAAACAAGATCCTCAAGACAAACAACAAGACACACAAAGAGACATACGAGACATACAACAAGACACACAACTAGACAATCAACAAGACAAACAACAAGACACACAAGAAGACGCACAACAAGATGCACAATGAGACACACAACTAGACAATAAACAAGACCCTCAAGACAAACAACAAGACACACAGAGACATACGAGACATACAACAAGACACACAACTAGACAATCAACAAGACACACAACAAGATTCACAAGAATACACTCAACAAGACACACAATGAGACACACAACTAGACAATAAACAAGACCCTCAAGACAAACAACAAGACACACAGAGACATACGAGACATACAACAAGACACACAACTAGACAATCAACAAGACAATCAACAAGACAAACAACAAGACACACAAGAAGACGCACAACAAGATGCACAATGAGACACACAACTAGACAATAAACAAGACCCTCAAGACAAACAAGACACACAAAGAGACATACGAGACATACAACAAGACACACAACTAGACAATCAACAAGACACACAACAAGACACACAACAAGATTCACAAGAATACACTCAACAAGACACACAATGAGACACACAACTAGACAATAAACAAGACCCTCAAGACAAACAACAAGACACACAAAGAGACATACGAGACTAGACAATCAACAAGACACACAACAAGATGCACAAGAATACACTCAACAAGACACACAAGAAGGCACACACCTGCTGCACGATTGACCGATTGCTGTCGATTGGCCAACACAGATTAGAGAATCAAACAACAAAACAATAGAGCCATTGGTCCATAAGGGGCAGATGACCAACGTCTATAAATGCTAAAGCCTGTGAGGCAAAAAGGTATTTTGTCAGCCAACAATTGTTCAAGTTCAATGTTTAAAGATGAAAGATGCCTGTGATTGGACATGATCAGTCGAGCGCTGCCACAGTGGGGCAACTGCGTCTGTAAAGTCCTAAACTGTGGCTGTGTCCTTTGGCAAGACACTTCACCCACATTGCCTTGAATGAGTCTAGTGTGTGTGTGAATGGTTTGAGGTGGTGGGAGGGGCCGACGGTACAGACTGGTTGCCTCACTTCTGTCAGTGTGCCCCAGGGCAGCTGTGGCTACATTAGTACTTTATCACCACTGTGTATGGAGTGAGAGAATCATGACAGGTGAAGGGTCTTTGAGCGTCCAAAAAAACGTTGTATTTAACTCGTGCGTTCTTACAATATATACGATGTGATAAATGGGCACTCATTTTCCCATTACTCTCACCAATTTCCTCCGAGTCAAATCTATATTCTGTACGCGATACCCTTCCCCAAAACACTATCAAACTCATGTTGTTCAAATGAGGTTGAACTGAATCTTGTTGCAATTAATTACTTTTTGCCCCGAAAAATGTCTTCGTACAACACCAGGTAAACAAAGCACCTCCCGCAGCGGCCTGTCGGAAAATGAGATCCTCGCTCTCATTTCCTGTGGCACGCCGATGTCATATCCTCTGCAGTCATCGGAGCCACAGCAACGACATGTGCTGCTGTGTGTGTGTGTGTGTGTGTGTGTGTGCGTGTGTGCGTGTGTGCGTGCGTGCGTGTGTGTGTGTGTGTGTGTGTGTGTGTGCGTGCGTGCGTGTGTGTGTCATTTTGAAGAGGCAGCTATCAAACCTCCCCCATCTGCTGACCGGCTGGACTAGTCACCCGCCAGTCAGAGACGTAGACAGGGCCACGTCATTGGGTAACCGTGGAAACGTGTGCAAACTTAGCACCGAGTTGAACCGAGACTTCAGAGAATAGAGTTGTGTTAGAGTTGTTGTGTGTTACATTACAGTGCCTTGCGAAAGTATTCGGCCCCCTTGAGCCTTTCAACATTTTGCCACATTTCAGGCTTCAAACATAAAGATATAAAATTTAAATTTTTTGTCATGAATCAACAACAAGTGGGACACAATCGTGAAGTGGAACGAAATCTATTGGATAATTTAAACTTAAAAAAAATAAAAATAAAAATGAAAAGTGGGGCGTGCAATATTATTCGGCCCCTTTACTTTCAGTGCAGCAAACTCAGTCCAGAAGTTCAGTGAGGATCTTTGAATGATCCAATGTTGTCCTAAATGACTGATGATGATAAATAGAATGCACCTGTGTGTAATCAAGTCTCCGTATAAATGCACCTGCTCTTTGATAGTCTCAGGGTTCTGTTTAAAGCGCAGAGAGAACCATGAAGACAAAGGAACACACCAGGCAGGTCAGAGATACTGTTGTGGAGAAGTTTAAAGCCGGATTTGGGTACAAAAAGATTTACCAAGCTTTAAACATCTCAAGGAGCACTGTGCAAGCAATTATATTGAAATGGAAGGAGTATCAGACCACTGCAAATCTACCAAGACCCGGCCGTCCCTCCAAACTTTCATCTCAAACAAGGAGAAGACTGATCAGAGATGCAGCCAAGAGGCCCATGATCACTCTGGATGAACTGCAGATAACTACAGCTGAGGTGGGAGAGTCTGTCCATAGGACAACAATCAGTCGCGCACTGCACAAATCTGGCCTTTATGGAAGAGTGGCCATTTCTCAAAGATATCCAATAAAAGTCTCTTAAAGTTTGCCACAAGCCACCTGGGAGACACACCAAACATGTGGAAGAAGGTGCTCTGGTCAGATTAAACCAAAATCAAACTTTTTGGCCACAATGCAAAACGATATGTTTTGCGTAAAAGCAACACAGCTCATCACCCTGAACACACCATCCCCACCTCAGCTGTATTTATCTGCAGTTCATCCAGAGTGATCATGGGCCTCTTGGCTGCATCTCTGATCAGTCTTCTCCTTGTTTGAGATGAAAGTTTGGAGGGACGGCCGGGTCTTGGTAGATTTGCAGTGGTCTGATACTCCTTCCATTTCAATATAATTGCTTGCACAGTGCTCCTTGAGATGTTTAAAACTTGGGAAATCTTTTTGTATCCAAATCCGGCTTTAAACTTCTCCACAACAGTATCTCGGACCTGCCTGGTGTGTTCCTTTGTCTTCATGGTTCTCTCTGCGCTTTAAACAGAACCCTGAGACTATCAAAGAGCAGGTACATTTATACGGAGACTTGATTACACACAGGTGCATTCTATTTATCATCATCAGTCATTTAGGACAACATTGGATCATTCAAAGATCCTCACTGAACTTCTGGAGTGAGTTTGCTGCACTGAAAGTAAAGGGGCCGAATAATATTGCACGCCCCACTTTTCAGTTTTTTATTTGTTAAAGTTTAAATTATCCAACAAATGTCATTCCACTTCACGATTGTGTCCCACTTGTTGTTGATTCATGACAAAAAAATAAAATTTCATATCTTTATGTTTGAAGCCTGAAATGTGGCGAAATGTTGAAAGGTTCAAGGGGGCCGAATACTTTCGCAAGGCACTGTATATGAACTGTTGTTGGGAGTTTGTGTAGTCACAACGCTACATTTTATTTGATTTCAAAACTAGAAAAAGTACTCAATAGCGATGGAGATACCATAACGATCATTTGTAAATTACTTTTTTTTTACATTTTAACCAAAAATAATCTTTTATAGTTTAAAATGTATCATAAAGTAAATCTGTTTTTGTTCAAATCAGTATCTAGTTTTCACACTAATGGGTTATCTGCTACGACTACTACTAATAATAAGTAAATATTTTATAATAATCCACCTTCCATTTCCTTGAAACCTAGATGTATTAATATTCAATATCAAAGTAAATCAAATATATAACAACCGTCACAATAACAGATTATGTTGTTATTCCCTCAGAAATATCTTGAGATTGAGAAGGAATGATAGTGACATTACTTTAAGCCAATAACACAGGTGCCATACGCCAAAAAGAGTAAACCAAACAGCAGAAAAAGTTTACAATCAGCCACCAATCCTACAAGTTCTCCTACTTAAAAACTTGAGGGCGGCCTGGAACTTGGATTTTTTTCTTCTCTTTCGTCTCTCTCATTTGAGTTTTCGTATGATGGAAATTATAAGCCTCCTTCATTTCTTTAAGTGGGAGAACTTACACAGTTGGTGGCTGATTACATTTTTGCCCCACTGTACTTACATCGCGGACATTCTACAACAAAAAGGTTGTTGCTTTGTTAAAAAGAATACCAAAAATTCATGTACAAGGCCATTCAAAGATAAATGTAAAAATACAAATCAAAACGCTTTAAAAAAGACAGTGGAATATACACTCTTTTTATATGAAAACAGAGCAGTGGACTTAAAACGTTTAAAAATTAGTATTATATTTTTGACCGCATTTCATGAATAGCATATGACCTTTAACACAAAATACATTTAGAAAAAGAGAGAGAGAGAGAAATAATAATAATAATGATTTTAAAATAAAAACTGAATAACTGAAAACTTGTTTTAAAATATGGGTTTAAAAGAGAGTACAAAAAATAATTACATTTTAAGTATCGCAGCGTTCTGTAATCATTCATTCATTCATTTTAGAACCCCTTTATTAATCCACTTCTGGGTCGGGGGGTGCCACTCAATGCTCATGGCACCAGTCTCTTGTTCTTTCAGCCGGGACTTCGGGCAA